TATGAAAAACAACTAAGAGCAGAGAGCCAAGTAGATGTCTACTATAACAGAGTGAAATTACAAAAAGAATGGTAGCTGAGTCAACCCAACTCTAAATGGCCACACCAGCTTTCACTGTCCCCTGGGTTTGGCAGAGTCTACCAAAATCCACTTTCTCTTATGGCTCAGAGTCTGCTAAACCCAGCATATATAAAAAGTATTGTAAGTAAAAAATGCATTTAATGAACCTAACTTACCAAGCACACTAGCTTAGAAACTCACAGCACTGCAGATTCTCCATTGTCTACCCTTGTAAGTGAGCAACTGACCGGAGGCTGTGGCTCACCACTCTTGCCCAAATTAGGAGAGAGGAGCATCCCACAAACTGCTATCCTGGGAAAAGACCAACATTCAAAGGTCTACTGTTTATAATGAAAGCTTCACCTTCATGCCATCATAAAGTGAAAAATCCTAAATTGAACCACTGTAAGTTGCGGGCTATGTATATTTTAAAGAAATATAGACATAGCCAATCATGGTCATTTGCTATGGAAGGAAGGAAGCTGGGAAGCCACTTATATAGCAGAACAGACTACAGCCTCCAGGGCCCACCTGTACCTCCTGTAGCATTTACCTCTGTAACGTGACTTTTCAATGCCCCTTACACCCCGTGAATCCTGTATCTCAATGAAGACTGCAACGTTACCAAGATCGAAGTTTGCAACTTCAAATGCTCTTTCAATCAAACACAATAAAGAAAGTCCAGACACTTTTCCTTTCAGCAAGAAAGACTAACTCCCACTTCCACTCTCACCTCAATTGCATAACTCAAGAGAGCAAGAGGCAACTTTCCTTGGACTCTTCAAATAAACTCTCTTTAGGGATCAGGCCACGCACAAGAAAATAGCACAGCAGGAATTTGAAAGAAAAAAAGAAGAAAGTGAAAAACTAGGGATAAAAGCAGGAAAGAACCTGAGCACAACATTACCGACACCATAATATAACACATATGCTGTCAAACTTTAGTTATTTGAATGGAATCAGGGATAAGAAGTCAATTTAGAAAGTAGAGATCTGGCAGGGGTGATTTTAAGAAAAAAAAATGCACATGTGTGTTGGATGGATGGACATATGACCTAGTTTTGGATAAATGAATCTAACAACAGTTTATAATTTATGTGAGTCTGTTTCCAGCTAGTCTGAAAGGCAATCTGAAACTGTGTTATCAATTAGGGGCCCATTGATGGATTATATACAGTCTGAAAGAGCCTGGGGCTAGACATCTTACAGATGTAAATATCAGACATGTGATAGCCTATGGAGTGCATTAATTCTGCTCTGAAAAGAGGCAGGAGCTGCAGAAGAGGAAAAGGGGGGACTGAGGTCACTCTTCACCATCTACCACTGCTCTCATGTTACAAATAACTGCTCAAGGATGTGGACTTTGGGATGCAGCCACTGCCTGGTGGAATGTCACAAAACTTCAAATGCAAGCAAGTAAATTCTTAGGTACCTAACTATGGCCAAAAGCTGCTTATAAATCTAGCTGTGTTAACTCTGCCATGAACAACTCTTCATAAGTAGTAGGTTACACTTAAGACATGGTTCCAGAAATATCAGAATTCAAGATTTGGTCTTTAACTACATTCTACTGAATTCTGCCATGTCTACCCTAGTTTTCTTATTCTACTATCTCCCACTTACCAACAATCACAGAAACAAAACATTTTGCAGGGATTCTTATTCTTTATTCTTTGAGGTGTCTTATGCCTTTTGCACAATAGGCAAGTGTTCTGGTGTGAGTCACACCTCCAACCTTCGTAGAGGTTCTTGATCATTTGTGTAGCTTAGTTTTACTCTAAAACCTCAGTAACAGAAGATCATCACAGTCTCATGAACAGGTTTTTAACTCTGAGCACTTTCTATCTGGGCATCTCCGAAGCATTTCAAACTATACTCTCACTACCCCACCACATGTTAAATCTAGTCATTTCCCCAAAGCATCCTCCACTGCATTCACAGCAAAAGCTGAAGTGGCCAGTAAAGGAAGGCTTTCAGTGATCCAATGACCTCTCTGACCTGATCTACTCTCCCCCTGTTCACTCCACCACGGCCACAGTGGCCGTCTTGCAATTTTTCAGCACACCATTCTCCCAGTCTTAGGCCTTTGCCTGGGACGCACTTCTTCTAATAATGATCTACAACTCCCACTTATGCAGATCTCATCAATGTGCTCTTCTGTGAAATAGTAAGTCAGTCTCCTTCTCTTCCTCCCACCTCAAAAGGCAAATGAACAGGATTACTGACAGCATCTATCTCTGTCTGTTTTGTGCCACTATATTAAAATTCCACAGACTGAGGAATTTATAAGTAATAGAAGGTTACTTGGAAGCCAGGCAGTCTAGAACTGAGAGGGTGGATCTGCTGAGGGCCTTCTTGTTACATCTTCACATGGTGGAAGGCATCATATGGGTGAGAGAGAACAAGAGATTGAACTTGTCGTCTCAAGACCTTTGAAAAATGGCATCACCCCACTCAAGAGGGGGGAGTCTCACAGACACATTCACACCACAGCAGCAGTCACTGTCATCATGATATGTATATTTACTTGTTTAAAATATCTCAACCCCCCAATCATGAGCTCTTCATTTCGTTTACAGTTTCTGACCTAGTATTTGTCAACTAGAAAGTGCTTAATAAATAACTGTTGAACAAATTCTAATTGTACGTATTTATTCTCATTAGTAGATAGGGGCCCTATCTTAGTATTCACTAAGAAATGACTACCATTGCTACTAATGATGGCTCTAGAGGGTAACGATGTGCTCATTATCAGAAACATGGAACATACGTAAAATAAGGAAATGAGGATGAGGCCCTGGTCGCAACAGTTTCCAGATCCTCCAAGGTCTGGCCCACCCACTGAGGGGTGGCTCTGACAGGAGAGGAGAGCATCATCCCGGACCCAAGGGAGCATGCAGCACCTTCAGTCTGCTCCAGTCCACCATTTCTTATTGTTTCCATCACATAACCAGGAGGTAATGGAGCATCAAAACTCAGCATTGGGATGACGGTCTATTATCAAAGATGTATTAGGAAAAGCACTAAGGAGTGAAAACTGGATTTGAAAGTACAGCCAATCCCCCACATCTGTGAATTTAACCAACTTCAGGTGGAAAATACCCAGGAAAGAAATTGAAATCTGTACTGACCAGGTATAGACTATATGCTGTAACAACTATTTACATGATATTAGGTATTATAATTAATCTAGGTTTGATTTAACTTATATGGAAGGATGTTTGCATAGGCTATATGCAGATATTGCACCATTTTATATTAGGGCCTTGAGCACCTGCAGAGTTTGGTTTCCACAGGGGGCGTCCTAGATCCAATTTCCATAGATAATGAGGGACTACTATAATCTATAATTATCTCTTTAAAAATACTTCCCTGATTATAAAAGCAATTAATGCTTAGTTGAAAATCAAGTAAATAAGAAAGCAAAAATACCCGCTGTTCTATCACTAAACAGTAACAACTAAAACTAATGACTGGATCTCTAGATCTTATATAGATGAATAACGCAGGTTTTTCTTTATTGATTCAAATGGATACCTCACAAGTTACCATGAATTAAAAAATATTAAGTACACACAATATTAAATTACCTTATCTATTTTGGGGAAATACTTAAATCTGATTCTATTCAAAGATTTCAATTTCAACTTCAAATCTTCAGACTCAGCATCATGCCCTATATTACTAAGCATTTTTGAGGGAAAGAGGTAAACACTAAATTTGAGAACCTGGAGAATCAAGTGCTAGCTTTGTGCCTTATGCAAAGAACCTTCTATGATTTTCATTACATGATTTTCTTCCATAATAATTAATTTTCTTTGCCCATTCCATACCCTATCTACTCTCTTCTGTTTTTTAATGAAAAATATTCTCATTTAGCTTTCTTTCTAGCAGTAAATTTCACTGGCTCCAGAAGACTTCTAGGTTCTCTGACCAATTTTAAAAAATGATTGAATGTAATTTTATATATATATACACATCCATCTAGAAAATATGTGCCTGGCAGATTTAGGTTGGACCATTTATCTAGCAGTAAAGCTTTATTATACCTAAGAAACATAAAATTTACAACTCTTTCTTTCTAGCACCAATAGACTACCTGGTTTGTGTATACAGTTCCCAAAGACTACAATTTCTCCCCCCAGACAGGGCCTGGAAGGGGCCTCATAAGTAAATATTCTGGTCCTCTGGCTTCTCTTTTGGGTTTACATATTCACAGAGACCTGAACTTTGGGAAATTCTTCATGTTTAAAGATTAGATCCTTCAACATTCCAGCAATAAGGGAAGGTTTAGGACCTTTCTGAGACTAAAATTCTTCCTTGTAAAATCTGAACGTTCTATTTCTAAACATTTCTAAAAGTCCTTCCAGCTCTGAGTGAAACCTCTATGTCTGAGATCTATTAGTGTACAATGAACACAAGACAAAACAGGAGAGGATATGGAGTTGAATTCCAGGGCCAGGGAGCAGAGACATTATGGTACTTTAAGGCTGTAAGTAGTCATATAAACAGTTAGTTATTACTACTGCATGTAACTGAGTTCCAGTGAGACAAGGAAGCAAGTTCAATCTCAATGTATACAATTTTGGTGCTGTTTACTAGTAGGGAACTCTCCCATCATTCTTCCAGAATACCAAAATATTCAAAATTTCAAATAAGGAATGTAAATGAAATCCAACACCTCTTATTGCAACAATAACTGGGTCTCTAAAACAACATTTAAAATCACAAATGCAAAAAAATTGCAACAAATGAGAAAATGGGTTGAAGAGCTTGGGGAGGTCTTGATGGGCACCATATATATCGCTGTACAAGAGATGCTTAACACATGCCGGTGTGAGTTTTTTTCTTTCTTTCCTCATTGGAGGTTAATTCTCAAAAATATTTGAGGCAATAAATTTATTCAACTTAAACATGGTGGGATATAGTTCATTACTGACCTGAATTTAAATCTCGTCCTGGATTGAAGGCTCGGCTATTAACAGTAGTAGAAAGTCGATCACAACTAATCGTTCTGGATACATTGGTATTAAAGTTCCCATCAAATCTGAAATGATAGAAAAGGATTAAAAAGGCTTATTTGGTGGTCAACTGATCCAGAAAAGTGAACCAACAAAAATAATCATTCATACTGTGTACAAATAGGTCCATAAACAGAATAGTGACTAACGTTAAAAACCTAAATATTAAATACTCAGAATGATGTGAGAAGAAACTGACATCAGCATTTAGAAAGTGTAGAGATCAAGTTCAATGCCAAGGAGTTAAACAGCAACTGAGCTTCAAACCAATGTTTTCTAAGGAACCTGAGATACTACCCTATCATTAATAAAATAACAGAAAATTTAGACGAGCTCTGATATTACATGTGAAACGGTATTCTTTAAATTATCTTATCTGAAAATAAGTGAACAAGTACAAATACAGAGAGTAGAGAAAGGGAAAGAATGGTTGTGAAGTAAATAAAAAAGGTGGGAGTGGGGACTGGATTTAAGTCTCTGTTCTGTCACTACGAAATATGCAACCTTGGGAAACTATGTGAAAAACAGATATACTACAATTTATTTTCCAAAGCTGCCCAAAATGTTAGAAATAATGTATAAAAGTTCTTCTCGAAAAACATGGCAATTAGCTGTGTCTGCCTCAACAGTAGCAGAACCAGAACAGCACTGGTATTCTGATTAATACATAGTGGTGGAATCAATGACCCGCTAGAGAAAATAGCAATCTGATCAAATACGACAGGGACATGTGCCAAGAAACTTCTAACACTCAGGAATAGTATTAAGTGAGCTTAGTCTAAAAGTTTCAAACTGAAAGATCTTACACTTTCATGTAACCTGTTTACTGTTTAGGATTTCAGAATTTTACAGGACTCTTGAAATTTCTAACAGATACTCAAACTCAACCTGACATTAGATTTTTTAAAATGTGTTACAATATATACCTCAGATGTCATTAATGAAGTTTCATTAACACTTAAGTAGGAAAAATGCTCCTAAAGACCAAGATCCATTTGCTGATTCACATGAATTTTGATTATCTGTTGGTCACGTCTCATAAAATACAGGAACTACTGAATGGAATTGATTGTGTAGGGTGTTAGGTTTTCACAGGGTGGATCATTTTCAACAGCAAAAGCTAAAAAATCTTGTTTTACTACATGTCACCTCAAGAGGAGGTGACTGGATTTCAAAAGTCCTTTATTTCTAGCCCCTAACACAGTGCAGAATTACATCAACAAAGTCAACTGTGCCTCAACGGACACAGTTGCTTCACGAACATAGTTGCTCCTCCTTGGACCTGCTCCAATTTGTCTAGACAAGAAGACTACTGCCTTGAAAGCCACAGATGGAGAGAAAAAAAAAAAGAGAGAGAGAGATTAATCCAGCAGCAGCTGTCTGTACGTATGCTGGTCAAGTGACAGCACCATACTCTCACTTCACTTCACTTCACACGCTACCTAACCACACAAGTCTATTCTGCCACAAACGCCAGATAATAAACATTTTAGTTTTTGTTGCCACAACTCAACTCTGCCACTGTAGTGGAAAAGCTGTCATAGAGAATACACAGAAAATTGAATGTGACTATATTCCAATAAAAACTTAATAAAAAAAAATAGGTGGTGTGTCAGATTTGCTTTACCTCCCGGTTTAGACCAGGGAAATCCAAGAAAAGTGTCTTAGAATATGTGTGACTTGGCTCTGTCCAATACGGTAGCCACATGTGACTACTGAGCATTTAAAATGTGTATAACTGAGACAGTAAATTTTCTAGTTTATTTAATTTTAGTGTGAATAGTCACTGCACAGTTGTTGCCACATTGGACAAAGGAATTCTAGAAAATTCTATTTGCCTGGCTATCCTTTAAGTCTCTGTTCATATATGACTTCCTCAGAAAAACCAATTCCAAATAAGAATGACTTCCCAAGTCTATGACAAGAGTCTCAAATCATGTGTCATAATGTTAAATTTATGGTTCTATTTGTGTATTTTTAAACACATTTTAAATCAATCATTTAACCAATTAATTTTATTGAGACAGCATCTTGCTACATGGCCCAGGCTGGCCGCAAATTTGCAATCCTCCTGACTCAGCCTACAGAGTGCTGGGAGTACAGGTGTGTACCACCCTCACCTGGTTTCTCTTTGTGTATTTTTGATAGATGAACTTTTATGAGTCCCATAAGGGGACTCACTACATCTTGTTCACTGTTGTACGCAAAATGTTTAGCACTGTTCTTGTCAAAGTAGATGCTCATATTAACTGGTCTTTCGTGAACACTGTAGTGCCTTACCCCTGTTATGCATTCTTATTGAAGGCTCCAGAAGTCTTAGCAAGTGAAGACTGTGACTCATCCAAATAGTTATAAAATACTGAATGCCTAGCTACACCAGAAAGACCTCAGGTGCATGCTGGAATGTAGATTCCTAGAATCTACCCTTGGAGAGTTTGATTTATTGAGTTTGGGGTGAGGCCCAGGAACCTGACTTTGACAGGTTCTAGGAAATGAGAAGTCCTCCAATCCTGCCATGAAAATTCTTTTAGAAATAAAGCAATAGAATAGCTTTCTGCACAAGCATAGGTACTTCCCAGTATGCCTAAAAGACCAAGGACAGAGGGTCTTCTGATTTGATTTGGGTCAAAACAAAAACAAAAACAAAACAAAAAAACCTCAGCAGTTCTTCAATATGTCTGCAGTCAGAGCTGGACTTTCTTATACAAATTATGAATGCTTTTTATATCAACTGATTTCACAGTAGAGAAAAATGACACCAAGGATCATACAGCAAGTCAGGGACCTAAGAGAGACTAGAACCCATCACCCAACTCCTTTTTGGAGATGACCTACACACCACTCTGCATCACTTAAGTGACACATAAGGAAGAACTTGCAGAAATGGGCAGCTCAGGAGCTCATATTGAACAACAAATCCTCCTGGGAAGGGTAGGTTCAGAGACAGTCCCCTTTGCTTGCATGGAGTGTCCTAGGCCAGGACCTCTGCTGTCAGCCCCACCCCTTCAGAGTTGAAGTCCAGTGCTGAGGATGCATATTCTCTGGGCTTTTGTGAAATGAAAAGTGGAAGACTAAGGAACTACCAATACAGTTATTTCACTTCCTTTACTGAAAACACCATTGCTAAGAGCATTAAAGAAAACATTTTTAGAACAAAAATGGAAGTGACTCATTAACAAAGCAGGTGCTTGGTAAACATTTGTTGGCCATAAAATGATTTCACCATGCAGTGCACATCATTGATAACCTACCCAGCCTTCTCTTCCCACTCACTATCTCTCCACCTACACAGCTAACCACATTGTTCTCAATACATGCTCTCTGATGGAACCCATCTTTCCAGTGTCCCCTTCATCCATTCTTGAAAGCCAGCTCAACACATCTTCCTCCCTCAAATTTCTCCTATCAGTCCAGCCAAGGAAGAATCCTTCTTTCTTCAAGCTAACCAGTTCCATTCTACTTCTTAGTTATAAGCCCATGTCATTTTCCTGTTTTTCATATTGTTTTGTAATTGAGTTTAACGCAGTATCACAGTCCTATATACTAGGTTGGTTTTAGATTCTGCTCCTCTCAACAGAACAACAATCAGTTTGTTTGGGCTCCTATAACAACAACAAAAGCATAAACTAGGTGACTCAAACACCAGAAATGTATTTCTCATAGTCCTGGAAGCTAGGAAGGCCACGATCATGGTGGTAACAGATTCAGTGTCTGGTGAGGGCCCACTCTCTGGTTCATTCTTGGTACCTTCTCTCTGTGCACTTGGTGAAAGGGGGCAAGGCTTCCCTTGCCTGGGGCCTTTTTTGTCAGGGTACTAATCTCATTCATTCATAAGGGCTCCTCATGATCTAATTATTTCCCAAAGTCCTCATCTCCTTATGTGACCACACTGGTGATTAGGTTTTAACATAAGAATTTCAGTGGGGAGGGACCATTACCATTCAAACAATAGCATCGAGGAAAATTTAAAGATAAAATTTTTTATAAACAAATGAGCAAATTATCTTACTTATTTTGCCTTCCCATGAACTAAAATAAAGATGCATTAGATGGGGGTGAGTAAGCAAAGGTTTTTGTTATATAACCCCTGTCAACTAACCCGTCACCAGGCAGCTTCTCCCTAGAACCTTTCATGCAGTTGGGAAGTCTTAGCTTCCCCCAGTGGGACTGTTACACTATACTATCCTTGAGAATAAATTTCTCTCTCAGATCTGGCACACTGCTGGGAATGTGGGGTATGCCATAAATTCTTATTGGTCCACTGAGGAATGAGAAAGGGCAGAAAGCTAAGTCACCAGAAAGCTCTGGGCATTTTATTCAGTAGTGTTCATTGAAAAGATACTTGATCTCACAATTTGGATTACTTTGAGTCCCCTACATGTACTGCATCTCACCCATTCACCTGCCAAGTTCACTTGGAAAGCCCAGAAATAAGCCTACTCAGTGGCTTTTTCTCACTCCTTATGCTACTGGTGCATCAGTCAGGTAAGGAAGTGGATGTCAACAGGGGCTTAAGAGATGAAGGAGGAATAGGGTATCCAGGGCTGGTGGCCCAGTGAGGGTAGCAGAAGTAATTGCTAGAAACAAAAATAAGGGCGATTACCTCTCAACCCTTTTCTCACACACACTAATACTTATTTGCTGCTTTGTACAGACTCTAGACTTACTAGACTCCAAACACAAGGGGAAAAGGTGCTTAGCCATCCTCGTTGCATTAGCTACTTCTGGGTCCTAACAGAAGAGTTGCCTGGCCAAAGGCAGGAATGCTTTTAATGTACGTGTGCCTGTGAGAGAAGCAATTTATAAAAAGCAGCATACTGTTCGTCCTGATTTGGAGACTGTGGAACTGTAAAGTGATGCACAAGACACTTTATAAAAACATGTCAGTTACGCTGAGGGGTTGCCCAAAGGATTTCCCACTGAGAAGTATATTAATGGCCAGTCACATTTATATAATTCTAGGTTTATGAGAAGGTCAAGAACTGACAAAATCATAGTTTTTCATATAAAATAAGTAAGCAGTTCA